GCTGAGGGCTCTGTGGGTGTTCAGCCTGGAGAAGAGGAGGCTGAGGGGAGACCTTCTCACTCTCTACAGCTCCCTGACAGGAGGGGGTAGCGAGGGGGAGGGCGGTCTCTGCTCCCAAGGAATGGGTGATAGGATGGGAGGAAACAGCCTCAAGTTGCACCAGGGGAGGTTTAGGATGGATATTAGGAAAAACACCTTCACAGGAAGGGTTGTCAAGCACTGGAACAGGCTGCCCAGGGAAGGGGTGGAGTCACCATCCCCAAAGGTATTTAAAAGCCGGGGAGATGTGGTGCTCAGGGACACGGTTCAGTGGTGGCGTTGGCAGTGTTAGGTTGATGGTTGGACTCGATGATCTTAAAGGTCCCTTCCAACCTAAATGATTCTGTGTTGAGGGGGGTGTGGGGCCACCGGGCCAAACGCTGCGCTCTTGCCCAGGTGAGGAGCACGGAGGGTGAGGTGGTGGATGGGGAGGACCCCAGCCTGCAGCCCTCCGCGGCCAAGAAGGTGAAGCTGGAGCTGAAGGAGAGGAAGGAGAAGAAGCAGAAAGTGGATGAGGATGAGATCCAGAAGATGCAGTGAGTGCCAGGGTGGCTAGTGCTTGGGGAGGGCACTGCACACTGTTTGGGTTTGCTGCTGGAGATGACAATTGTTTAATCAGTTAATGAGCTTGTGGTTAACGCTGTCCATAGCTCTGTCACAGATTCCTCCCCTCCCGAATGGGCCCAGCCATTTTGCATGACAAACCTTTACCGCTTTTCCCTTCCCGGCTCTGTTCTGTACCACAGGAGGCTTGGGGTGGCAGAAGGGCTTTGCAGGACTGTTGCAGTGGCCTCAAGAGCTTCAGACTTTCTTTTTGTTTTGATGTAAACAATCAATTCTCTCCACTCCAGAATACTGGTCTCTTCCTTTTCTGAAGAGCAGTTGAACCGTTACGAGATGTATCGCCGGTCTGCTTTCCCCAAAGCTGCTATTAAACGGGTATGACTTCAATAACGCTTCGCCTCAGCAGGACTCTGAGCAGAGCACGCAGGCTGAGCCTGGCTGCCATCATGTTTAGGTCTTGCCTGACACGTGCCGGCTCTGTGGTTCGCTGTGCTCCCCTCCAGCTGTGTCCTGGTCCCTGTGGCTGAGACCATTGTCCTCAGATCAGTTTGTCCCATTACGGTCTAGCTCAGTCCCTATGCACAGCTGATGCAGTTAAATAGGAGTGCAACTTAAATAATGGTGGTCCGGGGGGCCATGAGGCAACAGGAGAAGTAATTGCTGGTACAGGGTCGCAGCTGAATGAGGGTGGGGTAAAATCTTGGTGATTAGTATGTGCCCAAAGCTGTAGGACCTAATTCTAAAGCTCAGTTCCTGCTTACTTCGGTAGCCTTCGGTTGGTATTTGATAGGCGCAAACTGCTAAATAGTAGTTAAAGTGTTTCACTGCTGCTGTGTGTACCTCGCTCAGCTGACTGTCCTTCTCCGCTTCTTCAGCTCATCCAGTCCATCACTGGCACCTCCGTCTCTCAGAACGTGGTTATTGCCATGTCTGGCATTTCCAAGGTCTTCGTTGGGGAGGTGGTGGAAGAAGGTGAGTGGCAAATGTTATTGTTGAGTAACAAGATAAGAATATGGGGTAAATTCATTGCTTACGGCAGAGCAGGACATGGAACAAGACTGGTCACTTTGGGACCCACTTGTGCTGTCCTGAGGGGCCCTTGACCTTCCAGCAGCAGCAGAGCTACGTTAAGAGCTAAGCCAAGAGAGGGGTGAAGCGTGGTGCTGCCCGTAGTCCCCTTGCATCCTGTCACTGCCCGTGAGTCAGCAGAGGTTGGTGACCGCTGACCTCCTGCTTTATCCTCTCTAAGGAGGATAACTTTGAAGTTCTTGCTCTGTGAGTGGGCCTGTGAGCAGGTTGCAACGGAGGAGCAAAGGTCTCTTGTTAATACTGCTGTGGACAAATTCAGCCCAGAGGGAAATGAGTTATTTAAGCCTCTTAACCTGTAAGATTCTTCCTTTATGGGATGAGCTGATATCTCCTTGGGACACTGGGTGGGAGGCTGACCCAGCTGTGTCCCTGCTCTGCTGGGGCTGGAGGTTGGTTTTGCCAACCAGTTTGTATAGACTTGTCACAAAACACGGCCTTTATGTGCCGGGATCACCAGTACCAGCGCGATGCAGCTTTACTGCTGCTGTCTCTGCAGCGCTGTGTTGCCTGAGGCAGTTTGGATAAGCAGCTTCACTGCTGTCAGTAATTGCTTCACATTGTTAATTGCTTCATGTCCTTGGCAGGCCCTGTGGATACTTACTGTAAATGATAGAGAAGAAATTGGCCCCTCAGTCCACTGTAGGTTGTACCTTCATGTCACTGCTGTACACAACAAGCCCAAAACACAGGGGTTGCTTTAGAGCAGAAGGTTTAAGGTCATAAGTTCTTGTGTGACGCAAAGCAGCATATTCCAAGTAGTTGGAGTAGTTTAAAAAGCAGTTTATTCTGGTCCAGTATTGATGCCCCTAGGACTGACTTTTCTTTCAAAGAGAAGCACACAAAGCAGTTTCATCCTTGTATATTAACAAAATGTCAGCTGTAAACATTACCTGTTGCCTTTAAACTTAAAGCTCAAGTAGTAGGAGACTGGCTAAGCTTAGCTCTCCTGCTCATGTGAACTCTTTGGGTTTTGTTGTTTAGCTCTGGACGTGTGTGAGAAGTGGGGGGAGCTGCCACCTCTGCAGCCCAAACACATGCGAGAGGCAGTCAGGAGGCTCAAGGCACGAGGACAGATCCCCAATTCCAAGTATAAAAAGATCATCTTCCACTGAAGCGTCCCAAGAGCAGCAAGAGAAGACAGAAGTTAAAACCTTGTAACAGTGACAGCAGAGCTACGAGACTGGAACTCCTGCAGGAGCACTGTGTATAGACTTCGGTGGCTGCAGGGAGGGCTCCTGCTGTCACTGCTGCAGCCTGGCTCATCACCTGAGCACCAGGCAGGAGCCAAATCCCTGACTTGGAGCTTCCAACAGAGTAGGGATAGGAATGCTCAAAGTCTTCAGTGTATTCACCCACCAGGGTCAGGCTTTCTGCTGGCACAGGTGTGTCTATGTTACAGAAATGTCTTTTTTTTTTTTTTTTGTACATTAAACTTGTTATTGTATTCTTAGTCTTGCTGGGAAATGCTAATTGTGTAATGGTGTTTGTGATTCAAAGGAGGGGGAGTGCAATAGGATGATCTGTCTCAACCAACCCTGACATGTTCCTGAAGCTTCGCCTTGCCTCGGGCATGTATTGTGCCATTAGCATCAGTGAGGGAACATGTGCTGAAAGCTGATGCTTCTGAAGTCATCGCTCGGCTGTTCTTCCCAAAGCCAGTTTTATAGAGCTGTCTAGAAAACTGTACAATTAGGAAAGCGAAGTGGGAGGGAAAAGGGGAGGGAAAAAAAAAACCAAACAACTCATGAGCCTGTAAGGAGGTTAACAAGTTTAATTTCTTTTCATGGTTCATAGAACCAATAAATGCATGAGTGGAAATATACTGCAACAAAGTTCCAATACTGCCCGAAACTCAAATTCAAGTTCAGACTTGCACATTACCCACCTGTACATACAGGAATCCCCTCTGAGCACGCTTCTCCTAACTAAATGTAAAAGATGCTGAGGCCATGTGCTCTTCCTAGGGTAACTGTGGTGTAGTTACACAAAGGATTAAGTTGGCTCTCATCATTACACAGAAAGAGTCCTTAAATAAAAGGCTCTACAAAGTAAACTTTGCTAATCATCATCAGTGGAGACAGTGGAGTTTTTGTCCTCTTACACATATGCCTCGTAGAAAGGACATGGATTTTGTTTTACAGTACTTTTTACTGGTACTTGAAAAACAAAACAATGGAAGTGCTTTAATTCTTAAACAAAACCAGTTGATGTGAGTTGCTGGAGCAAGAAATTTGCTGTAAACACCCTGGCCCCAGCTCTGTCCAGTCTGCACACGTGGGAGGGAGCGGTAAGGAGTTGTGTGACGCAGCAAGTAGACACCACGTCTGAGAAAACCCTTTACACCCTACTCCTTTCCCAAGCTGGCTGGAGATGAAGCTGGACACCTACTCAAATGAGAAATCATGAAAATGTGAAAAAGAAAGAAGCCTCACATTTTCAAGCAATCAGTGAATAAAAAAGTAAGAATACCATTGCATTCCACCAAAGGCAAGCATTCTTATATATCTCGCTTCACACAGGAAGAGGGAGCAAGCACAGAAGCACGTAGGGTTGACTAAACAAAGTTCAACTTCTGCTTGTGTGGGCTTTGTGCAGTTCATATGGTACTTACAGTGAGTTGTTCGCATATAGGTTTGTTTCACAGCAAGTCTACATACATAGGTGCTTTGTTACCTCCTTTGTCTGTTACTATGGGAACTCACAGCAAGAGTCCTATTTTCTACAGCAGATAACTTGCATTTCGAAACCCCTGCTTTTACTTTTGAGTTATTCTATGCACGAGGCAGTATTGGTGAAGGAAATGCCCGCTGACGCTTAAAAAGTTAAAGTGCATTTTCCTCTTGAGAACAGGCCTGACAGGTGCTCTAGTACGTTTTCCATCACAGGCAGCACCACAAATCTATCCTGTCAAAGGCTGTGTTGAACAGGGGATGGGTCACAGAACGTGCTCCAGAAAAAAGAGCCAGGCTGTCTAAGAGGAAGAAGGAGGAGTGATCCTCTCCCATGGAGGAGGGAAAGCAACTGGCAGAAGTCCCATCATCCAAACATCGGAGCTAGCCCAGGCTAAGTGGGTGGTGAGCCTGAAGCCTTTTGCCAAAGGCAAGTACTCCTCAGTTTAATCATTTGTGGCCACCTGCTTCCACAGGTTCTAGAAGGAAGGTCGGGCTCTTGCTGCTGCTGTCGTATCTGGTTGTAGGCACTGGTCAGTCAGATCTGGGCAGAAATACTGGACTGCAGCAGCACAGCCTGCCCCAAGGCTGCCTGTTCAAACCTCGCATGCAAGGACTAATTCCAACAAATGTTATTTGAAGCTACCTTCATTCTAATGGAGTCAAACACGGAATTAAGATGATGATCTTAAGAGTGACAGTTGTTTTAATCACCATCCTTCTCTTACATACCCTCTTTTTTCAAAGTGAAAGCTACAAACCACAAGGAATTCAGTCTTGGCTCTCCGCAAACCACAGTCGGCAGTGCCTCCACATCTAGCCTGGCGCTGTATATACGTCCCTGTTTCCCCTCGAGCTAAAGAAGAGCTAAGATGATCTCAGGAGTGCCTGTTAAGGGGAAGCGTTCAACAGCTCCAGAGCTGGGCAAAGGGACAAGTATATAAGAACATGGTAGGAAAAACAAACTTAACTCCCAAGTTATTTGCTTGCTTTTGCGTAGTTTTCAGGCCTCAGCTCATCATGGCTTGTAAATCAGAGGTTGCTCTTTGCATAGTGAGCATGATTAATTATCTTCTATTACTTTAGCTAAACTAATTTCAGTGGAATAATGCTTACCTAGGAAAAAAACAGAAAAATCCATTAAAGTTTTGGGGAGCGTGTTCAGCTAAAACACACAGTAAGGGTTACCTAACCATTATAGACAAGTGAAGTTTTCATCTGATTAATAAAGGAGAATCGCATATAATCCATGATTTTTCCTAGCACTTAGTGTGTGGCAATTGCTACCTGTTTTACATGCACTAAAAAGCCTGTGCATCAGAAATGGTACATTTACACGAACACAAAAGGCATCTGGAAAAATCCAAATCAAAGTTTGAAATAAGATAAAATCCAACAAACTGCACGCAGTCAAGATGCTGTGTATAACAGGGGAGGGAACGGGTGTTCATCCATAGCACGGAGAGGGCTGGAAGTCACACCCTTCTGTATCACAACACAGAGCAAGTTCTGCTCTGGAACAGCTTCTCCCTTCACAACTGCCCCTTACAGCTGCTTCCGTCTTCAGCACATCGACCATGTATCGCCTGGACTAGTACAGCCAAGAAACCATGTACCAGTTTGCCTTCAGGAAGGGATTTGGTTCTTGCTATTCATAAGTGACATTTCCTTTTTTTTACTTTTTAAAATTAGTTTTTACTGGGTTTTCTCTTTTTCCTTCCACACTTTTAGAGGCTCTTTCTTTATAAATTAAGTCAGTCTCTGACCACAGAGACGTCTTCCTCTTCAGGGAAGCAGCTCCAGAAAAGGCAAGAATACAAACCACGCTCACCCCAACAGCTATTCTTTCATCTCCACCCCCTAGTGAGCAGTTAGCAGTGTAAGCCCCCACCCAAGGGGGCCTGGCCAGCACCCTTCTCCTGACCCACACACCAACATCCCTGTTAAAAGACGTTTAAGACCAGGCAAAAGCTCAGTGCTAATAAAAATACATGACCGTGTGGGAATGCAGACAGATTTCCTTGTGCGTGCAGCCACTACTGCTCTCCCCCTCTCCACTGGTGAGACTCTGGCATACAATGGTTTCAGGATAGCGTGCATCCTGAAGAAAATGCATAGGTCATCTCATTCCATGACTTAATCAACTTCCTTCACCCCTGTTCTTTGACAGTAAAATTAAAGAAAGTTTAAACAGTGCCTGGTAATTAAATAAATTAATTCCTTTGTGTTTCTGCATTAATAAAACCAAACATTGCGGGGTTAAGCGAGAATGAACTAGACTAAGTCTAATATACTACCGATTCTGTCTTGACACAACAAATCACTGGAGAAAAAAGATGCTGAAGGAATTTCTTTACTATCCTGACCCTGTTCTTGAAGGGCTAACGAGCTGTAGTGCCCTTCCTCCACAGGGGGAAATCCCTTCTGCATCTCCCACACCCACCGACCTCCTACGTTTCTGTTTTTCATGTGAACAGTACACATGCTTTCACGTCAGAGCTCTGAGCAATGTTTTCTGCCATACCTATTCTCTATCACTCTTTGATGTGGTGAAGTAACTACGCTCCTCTTGCTGCATTCTTTGGCATGCATGATTAGGCAAGAACACAACGAGGAAGGCTGAAAGAAGCAGAAACCCCAACATGGACCATCTGTAGGTGTTACCATGAAAACTGGAGGCTGAAAACACACTGTCACTACCACTCATGGATGAAGAGACATGGGCTGTCCCCCCCAACTTCTGACCTTTTGTTTGTAGGCTGACCATCGCCCTGGTTCAGTGACAGAGGCAGCACCACACTGCCAGGATAGAGAGAAGTGGCTGCAAACAGAAACTCCTCCTCCTTCCTTCCCTGTTTTTCAGCCAGTCCTTTCACCCTCTTTCAAGTTCATTTTGCAATCACAGTTGGTTTCCATTCTTTGAGGCGATCGCTCTCCAGGAGGTTGACCTGTTTAGCAGCAATATAATCAAACTAGCCGCCTTAGTGCTGGTGGTGGTCTCCACTCCTCCTGAGCAGCTGCAGCCTGCGCCTTCGCTGTCAAAGCTGGAAGAGGGGATTGTATTTCCTAATTTCCTGCAGAAGGCGAGCTTTGTCCATGTTGGCTTCTGCAAGGGCTATTTTCATGGTCTGAAGCTCCCTTTGCAGCTCTGGCACTTCCTTTAACTACAAGAGACAAACAAGAGAACAAACAAGACAGGAGTTTCCAAAGGTAAGCAGCAGGGCAGAACTGACCACACTGATCTGCACAAAGAGGAAAACCAGAGCAGGAGCTTTTGAGATGAATTACACTATGTGACATAAGCACACAAAGCTCACTGACAACCTGACCCAGTTTGAGTTGCAGAAATACTTGCCAGCTGGTGCCTGCTGACTTCCATACCTGTCATTAGAGTCAGACAGCCCCCACTGGCAGCCTGAGCTAACCAAGACTTCCTTTTACTTCTCTAGGCATAGGAACAAGACTTGCAGTGGGCAAGGTTTTTTCCTGCAAAGCAGCTAACTGATTCTGGCTGAAGA